CCTCACGTACGCAGCAACCTCACGTACGCGTTGATACGCACGCAGCACAACAAAAAATCGGTCGGGCAGTGCCCGAAAGCTTGGTTGGGGGCTGGCGGTGGTGGCGGCGTTGTTATGACTGTGTGCTGTGTCTTTGCTGTTGTGACGGCGGTGATGTTTGCTGCAAAAGCGAGGAGAGAGGAGAGGGAGATAGAGAGAGCAGTCTGTTCGTCTCGGAACACAAATATATACTTGGAGCTCTGGAGCCCCAAACATATTTTTGCTCACGATTCATGCATTTTTGCCCAAAAGTCGCCTCCGATATAAAACTCGATTCATCCACTTTTCGGGCTCTTCCACTGGTTTCATGCATTTTTTCGAGTTTTAAATAACTCTTATCCCAAAATGTAGCAAAGACGCGGTCCGTGGTCACAAAAATGCCAGAGCCATCAGAAGATCTAAAAAACACGCAAACTGGCAAGAAAAGGGTACACAAGCCCGAAGAGGTACACCTATACATCCCTGCAGCACGTTTGCGTACCCACAACTGAAGTACCCGTCCACACACTACATTCGACTACAGCAGCATCATCCCCCCTGTCCCACACTTTACCAAAATATATGTGTGTCGACTACAGCGTACAGCTGTCTGGAGTGCTGCCAGTACAATAGCACCATGGTAGGCATGGCACAAGCTCGGGGCGCGCAACTGCTGTTTGAAGTGCTGTCAGAATGCGTCCGCGGACATGCACAGTGAGAAAGAACACCCAATCAAAGCCATCATTGCAATTGACAATCGCCGAATCTACCCCTGGATCATCTATCTGTGTTGGACGCAGCAGTGATAATAATCGACACTAACCCTAACCCTACGATGCAGGTACACAATAAAGGTACCCGGGGTATCCGCCCCATCTCTGCCGCGTCTCTCTACAAAACCAGTTACGTCATTACACACACCCAACACCGATGTTCAGGAAAAAAAACGGCAAGTTTTTGACAACACAAAAAGTTTGTCCGTGCGTCACGGTTCGATGGCGTCCGTGTCCTCCGGTGCCACTGCTCCGATGCCGCTGCTCCGGTGCTCTTTTTGGGAGGAAAGTTCAAGGGTGGTACGCAGTTTTTTAACCGGGTTTTAGGCATCTATCTCCATCTCTACGCGCGATAGGAAACAATTTTTGAGACGACATGCCCGACAACAAAAGACGCTGTAATCCCCCGCGATTTCCCTGGTTAAATTGGCTCTCCGAAGTTCGTTGTCCCCGGCAGTCCGGACGATCGCTCCACGATCGCTCCTCACACACGAACCCCGGCAACGTCATTATTGCTGCCTCTACTGCCATTGTTCCGGCGTTCCCCTCGAAATGCAATTGCAACCGGAAAGACTGCTCTCCCCGTTCGAGATATGTCTTGTTACAATACTATGGAAAGCTTGCCTTCTTTCTTCGTGTTGTACTAAAAAAAATATAACGTCCCCGGCAAAAAACTTTTACAGATGGAACCCAACAAGCCCCCTCCCTGTACAGTACTCCCGTGGCGAAACACACCGGGTTGTTGCGCTGTCGCAAGTATTTACGCCCGACGTAAAGACACAACGCGAAATATTGCCGCATGCTCGCGCCATGTAGACCCGCTGAGCATTACGCAATACTATTCTACCGCTCGCCTCCTGGATAAGGTTTAACCGATAACATGTAGACCACTGTTGTGCAGCTCGTGTGCTGGTACCGCCGGGGGTTACGTAAACAGCGCCAGCTTCGCCAGCGGGGGCGAACGGCGCAATGTCCCTCGTGCGGTGGATGTGTTTTTTTTTTTTTGCCCCGGGGTAAATTTGGTTTTTCTTTTGCTGCCGGGGGTAAGTCATCTGCATAACTTGAACAAGACGCCTCGATCACAGCGCTTGTTTTCACGTGAACATGCGTCACAGCAGCACCCCCCAGTGGGGGGGCTTTCTCGAAGGACACGTATCGCGCTGTTTCCGGAGACAGATTTGAACAAACGTTTCACAATCTGCGGGCACGGACGATCTTGGCGTCGATCTCCTGCACGTCCATTGAGTTACATATTCTAGAGCGGCCTTCATTTAAATATATCATAGGCGGATTTTCTTGCACATACAGGCCAAACGCAAATTACCGATAGTCTTTTTTCGGCCTTCCCAGGGGGGGAGGGAACTAGGAATACGGAATTACCTTTCACGTGCACGCTTGGGGCAGGGAGTGTTTCGGTGCTCACTTGCCGGACAGGCCACGTTCTCGACGAGAACTTGGGGGGGCTGGCTGCCTGACTTGGTTGCTGTTTTGCGTGTACACAGCTCATCTTTCATGCGGCAATCGTGTACAGCTGTTTTTTACACGGCTTAAAAACATGGAACACATCCATCCGCTTTCCCGCGCAGGTTCGTTCGCCACAGGCGGCTCGTAGGCTTCGTTGTCCCGGGCCTGATCGCGCACATCATCTGGTGGAGCTACGCCGCCACGCACCCGTCGACCTTCGACCTCTTCACCGATGTCACTGCGGACACGCCCAACTGGTACATGTGTGTCACCATGGCCTTCGGGTCGATGGTCGCAGGGGCCACAAGCGAGGTGAGCGTGAGAAGCATCTCATAGAGAAAAACGACTTGTTGTACAATACAGTTTGCGCACGCGCTCAAGAAGGTCTAGCTTTGGCCGCTATATATCGGTCTTAGTGTAGGGGTCTTGATCGAGCTCACAAGTGCTGCTCAAGCACTTCGGGATGCTCGAGGCTGTATATCTGAAACTGGCAAGTTTTTTTAGTAAGTGTGGGCGCTAACTACTGTATGCGTAGCCAGCGTTGCAAACTATGTACTTTTGTTGGATATGATGCGCGTTTCTTTTCTGTTGCGCAATTCTGGTTCTTCACGTTCGCGTACCCCGTGTGTGTAGATGTGTTGTCGATGGTCGGAGGGTCGAGGACTATATGGCAACGACGATACCAATTTGACTACTGTGTGTTTTATCGGAAAGTGCCTCGCTGTGTGTGTGTTCGTCGCGAAGCGCCTCCCATGCCATGTTTCTTTTGTACATACGCCCGGCAATTCTTGCGCTTTTGGAGCTGTTTTGATTCTTCAGCACGTGCAATTCAAAGAAGCTTGGGGACCGCCGCCGATCCAGGCGAAAAGGCGCTCGACAAAGAACACGTTCCGTACAAACCCGCCTCGGCCCTTACCGCCCCTTCTTGTTCGTGGGACGCACGCAGGGAGGCGCGTCGGTGGCCTTCCCGATCATGACCCTGGCGTTCGGCATCGCCCCAATAGTGGCCCGGGACTTCAGTTTCATGATCCAGAGCGCCGGCATGACCGCCGCCGCGGCAACTATCGTCATAATGCAGGTGCAAGTCGAGATGCACTCCCTGCTGTGGGCCACCGTGGGAGGCGTGGCCGGCATCATCCTGGGGCTGGAGGAGGTGAGAGCGAGCGGGGCGCCCTCTTGAGTCGTTGTTCTGGTGGATGGTGTTCCTTTTTGTGTCTTGGGGGTCAACATTTTCGTCATGGGCACGATCACGGGGTTGCAACTGCTGTAGCGACGAAAGAATTGGCCACTCCTTTGTTTGCAAATTGCCGTAATTGTTGTCACATGTCGAGGCACGTTTCCTGTATGTATATGTATGTCATCACACAGAAACCTGGGCGTCGCGCCCCCCGGGTGCACAACCATTGCGCGCCCGCTCTCCGCGATCCTGCGCGTGCTTCTCATCTGCGCAGTACTGCCGACTTGCCTGCACTGCTGTCTCTCATGTTGGCCTCGCCCCGCCAGGCACGCCTATGTGCCTCATCGCGCTATCTGCTGGTTGGGTTGTTGTCTCAATGCAACACTGTCAACCGTTCGGACCAACGCGATCGTGAGCAACAACGTCGTTCCCCGAAACCTCTCCGAGTCATGGTAGAGCATTAGATTGCTAGTTCCAAGGCTCGGTCGAGCCAAGCTTGTCTAAAACACTTGTTGAGAAGACCCAGATGAGGTTTTCAACAGGGTGCACGACGAGTCGATGGCCTGCGTTCTCCACCAAATCCCTTTCACCATCGCCTGTTGTATCACCAACGTCCTTGACCCGGCAGTTGTCAAGATATCCCTGGAATCACAGCAGTAGATAGAGTTCCTCGGCCTTCACGACCGGATGGCCTGCCGTCTCTCTAAGCCCTGACCACGGCCCCTTGCCGCCCCCCCCCCCCCCCCCCGGACAACAAGGTTGCCCCGAGGCTGGAGCCGGCGTACTCCAAAATGTTCTTCGTCTCCACCTGGGCCGCGTTCGCGTGTTCGCTCTTCTGGCTTAACCGGCTCATGGGCCGCCGAGTGTTCCTCTCCATCCCCAACTGGGAGGAAGGCGTCCTCTGGGAGGTGGAACTCCCTGCGGTCAAGCTCGGAGTCTCCGTGAACTGGAAGGCGTGCGTGCTCTTCCTGTGCGGGTTCGTGGGGGGCATCTTCAGCGCCATTTCCGGCAGGTTCGTGTGTGTTTGCGTGTGGATGGACGGGAGGCCAGTTGGCGACACCGCGAAATCGTATGGTATAGGTTTGGTGACGTCGCCGGGTGGTTTCACGTAACCCCTATTATTCCACTTTCCTGAGCTAGACAGGCACAGGGTGTGTGTGGTTGGTGTTGGTTGGGATTGTTGGGTATCGTTGCTTGACGTATGTCCTTAGACCCCATCCCTTGAGGAGAAAGCCGTGCTTGGTGGTTCGTGTGACCTGTCTCTAGAGAATCTTGGATAATAGTTGTTTTTTCACCCTGAACGCCGTTCGTGTCCGAAGCCAGTGTCGCTTCGGGAATCCCCTAACCTCTACGGTTTTTTTTCACCTTGGTGCCGTTTTCACAACTTGTGTTGGTCAACCACCCCACCCCAGAGCTTCCTTCTTGCGCGCGCTTTTGTGGTTGCTCATTTTTGTGCGCGCGTGGTTGCCCCCCCGTGTTTGCTCTCGAACAACAGCGGCATCGACATCTGCACGTTCTCGATCCTCACGCTCCTCTTCCGGGTAACCGAAAAGACGGCCACTCCCACCAGCGTCGTGCTCATGGCCATCAACACCCTCGTCGGCTTCATGTACCGGCAGCTGGCCATGGGAGGCGTCGAGCCCGAGGCTGTCAGGTTCTTCACCGTCTGTGTTCCCGTCGTCGTTATCGGTAAGCCTACGACCGACGAGCTAACGATTCTGGTCATGGGTGTTGGGATGTTTGTGCCCGTTTTTGGTCGATTTTGGGGAGCGAAGTAAGGTTGCTTTTGCCTGTCTTCAACCCCCTGGGCTTTTTTTTTTTCTTGACTGCTTGTAGGCGACAATCTGTTTGTTGTGATGCTGGAAGGATGGTGGGGTTTGCTTTGGCTCTGCTTTGTCGTTCGTGAAAGCCCGTTGCTGTTGTCGAAGGAAGGAGCGTCGCATCCATCCCACGTTTTGTTGCGTTTGATCAGTGATGGATGGAAGAGGCCCCACGTATGTGGTGAACACTGTGGCGTAATCCCTCGATGAACAACCGCAACAGCTACCCGGAGATCTGGACTACATCGTATTGTTGTCGAATGTTGCCTTGATTCCAGCTTCAGCAGTGCTTTCGTTCATCCCCTAGCCTGTGCCCTGGCCATCTTGCTCGCACACTGTTGGTGCTTCGGTCAACGCCAAAAAAATCTCTCTCTCTTTTATGTCTCTCTCCCGACAGGCGCTCCGCTTGGTTCTCTGCTAGGGTCCCACCTTCACCGCCTGGTGCTGGCGGCTATGATCTACATCACGGACGGCGTGCAGTTCATCGGCGCCCTCGTCATCGTGAGGCCGTGGTCGTACCACAGGACGACCACCCCGCTGTGAGTTGCTCCTTTCATTCTGCCGCGGGAGAGTACCGTTAGCTAAGTAGCAACACAAGCACTTTCGTGTAGCGTTTTTTTCCGATTGTTTTTTTTCTTGCCGGTCACCACTTTTTATTTTTACCCTTCCGGGGTCACGACCGCGGCACCGCGTTTTTTCCCGGTGCCTGGGCCTCAAGGCTGCACACGCACACCCCTCCCGTCCATAAGATTGCCTGTCTCGATGGCCGAAACATCCAGCGCAACTATAGACCGGGAAAACTAGCCCCGAACATGCCCTCCCCCGG